CCCGAGTGCTGGGATTAAAGGCGTGCGCCACCACCGCCCGGCTCTGCCTTGGCTTTTTAAGAGGACAAAAAATTAGGTAGGCGGAGTAGACTGAACAAAATGCTGGGAGAAAGAAGCCAAGTCAGGCAGTCGCCATGACTCTCCTCTCCAAGACAGACACAGGTTAAGATGTTTCCTGGTAAGCCACCACCTCGCGGTGCTACACAGATTATTAAAAATGGGCTAATCAAGATATGAGAATCAGCCAATAAGAGGCTGAAACTAATGGGCCAAGCAGTGTTTAAAGAATACAGTTTCTGTGTAATTATTTTGGTTAAAGCTAGCCAGGTGGTGGGAGGCAACCTGCCGCACATTCTACATAAACTTAAGACCTTAAATGATTTTCAAAAACTCCTTGGTGATATCAATTTGCTTATGCTGTATCTTAAACTTTGCAAAAATGATTTAAAACCTCTCTATGATATTTTACATGGGAAAGCTGTCCTGTCTCACCTTGTGAGCTCATGCCAGGAGAAAAGCCATAAGAATTATAGAACAAGCCATTCAGTCTCAATCAATTAACTTCATCGACTATAATCAACCATTAATATATATTACATGCAAGACTGTCCTTTCCCCAACTGCAGTTTTTTCGGCAAACTGTACCACTAATGTGGGGTCACTTGCCTGCTACATCTAAGTGTGTCCTTGGTCCCTATTAACAAGAAGTATCTGACCTCATTGTTATAGGAAAAAACAGGGAAAACATTTCTTTGAAAGAACCTGATGTCATTAAACAGCTGTATACTAAAGAACAGACTGATTGGCTTATGCAAACAATGAATATTCTGGCCCTTAGCTTCAGCCTCTTACAGCAGCATTTTAGATAAACATTATTTTCCTGATAAATTCATAGATTTTTACCAATAGACACAAATTTATTTTTCCTAAAGTCACATTCCTAGACCCTATACCAAATGCCTTCTTGGTTTTTACTGATGGCTCTTCCATTGGAATTGCTGCCTATGTTTGGAATAATCAAACCACCCAGTTCCAGGCTGCAGGTTCTTTGGCACAAATTATAGAATTACAAGCTGTTATTGCAGTCTTCTCAGCCTTTTCAAATCAGACCATAAACATTTACATAAATAGCATTTACCTTGCTCACTTTGTGCCACTACTAGAAACTGGGGGACAAATAAAAGATACTTCTCAGGATGGAATGCTTTTTGAAGGAATTACAGATTTGAAACAGAAAAAGAATTTTCCCATTCATGTTTCCCCAAACCCCTTGTTGAGGGTAATCAAAGTGCTGACATGGCCACTCGTACACAACTCCTTGTTATGAAGACAAGTCAACTCTACTCAACAAATAAAAACAGATTATGATCCTGCATATACTAGTGCTGCCTTTTCTAGGTTTTGTAAACAACCCTAATATCTCCCATTTTATGGGGATTCCTTATAACCCCCAGGGACAAGGCATAGTTGAAAGAGCACACCTCACGCTCAAATTAACACTGATAAAATAAAGAAGGGAGAATGGTACCCAACAAGTGTGTCACCCAGAGACATCCTATCTCATGCCCTATTTATCCTCAATTTTTTTCAAATTGGACGCTGATGGACGATAAGCTGCCAACTCCTTTTGACACACAGAAACTCAAAAGCCATTTGCCATGGTACTATGGAAGATCCCATAGATAATTCCTGGCATGAGTCAGATTGGGCCCTTATCTGGGGACGAGGGTCAGTATGCATTTATTCCAAAAACATAAAATCAGCTAAATGGCTTTCTGAATGCCTACTTAAACAAACTGATAAAATACAAAATAATGAAAATAATGATCTAACAAACTTTAGGAATGAAGCGTTTCCCTGGGAACAAATAATTTTAAATTTCAGAAAAAGAAAATGAAGAGATGGACCATACTACAAGAAATATTGCTGCCTCTGATGGCTTCGGCTGAAAAAGGAGTTGGGACACCGGCAAATACCCAAAACCTAATACAAGCTTTATTTTGCCCTCCTTGTGAATGTCATGGAGGCATTAGTAACTTGCCTCCTGCCTCCTTCCCATTAGCAGCCTTGCTTGGCTTATTATTTTCCTTTCACTAGGATCTTTTCTTTTAAGTTAATTGCATTTATGAAACAATAGGTGAATGAGGCAACTAAAATGCAAACTATAGACGTCCATGACTGGACATGGGTGACATTGAAGAATATGAGAATGTTTAGCAGGTAAGCTCATGTACTTGAGGTACCCAGACAATTGACTTTAAACTTGGTATGCAGGGCTCTATAGCCAGAGATGGGTAACAAAATACCCATCTGTATAGCTATGTTAAACATGTCACCTAAGACAGGAACAGAACCAAAAGCTATTCTGTCTTCCTATGATAAGTAAGGATGGGACTACAGGAGCTCTCCTGACCAAAGACAGGAACAGCTCCAAAGTGAGTTTTAGCTTTTAAAAATCAGGGAGACTTACTGCTCCCTGAATTAGTTTTGCCCACCCTGTTGTGCTTGGCTTCTCCTGCTGTACTGATTTGTCAAATACTAATTTTGCAAGGAGTTATTGTTCAATTATTACTGTGTTCTGAACATTCAGACTTTTCTGCATGTTGCAGTTAGAGGCTTTCCACCTGACCATTGGACCATGGTAAGGTTGCCTAGTAAGTTGCCTAGTTATGCATATACACACAAAGAACTTTCTCATTTCCCCTACCATACGTTTACCTTGATTATTCCCTTGATCAGAATTCTATCTTGTCTCCTTTTCTTGTGTCTCTTGTCCCTTCCCATTCTCTCTCCCTTGCCCCCAGGGTCTGTGCTGACTTAGCTGCAGGCCTGGGCAAATGATGATTGAACTTACTAAAGGTGAGATGGCTAGGAAATGAGTCTGGGCAGCCAGGAAACAAACAAACAACCTCCCCCAACAGAGGACATAGAAATTTTGCAAAAAGTTACAGCTCAATCCTTTTATACAAAGTTGTCAAAAAATATCAGAGAAAATACAGACTCATCTATAAATGCTGCTATCAAAACTAGATATCCAACCAACAATAAGGCAACTAATTTCGATATCCCACTTGATATAAAAATTAACTCAAAATAGATTAACTATATATTGGTATAACAAGTAAAATAATAATTGATAGAAGAAAATAGTTAAAGCCATTATAAAATCTGTGAGTATTTGCTAGCTCTGGTCAGCACTATTGAGCTTGTAAAAGAATGAGTAGTTTGGGAATGTTAATCATTTGTGGGTATTTGTTTTCCATTTTTAATGCCAGTTGCCTGACACATGTGATGTGAAGACAACCCAGATTCTATCTTTCCACTTTGCATTTCTGGGAGAAAACATTACCCAAACTTGACAGATGAGTGAGGAAACTGATTATTTATTAGCTTGGTATCAGCAGAAGCAAGAGAAACCTCCCATGCACAACTTGGTAGATAAAGTTCCTTCAAAGAGCAATGGCAGTGGATCTGGTACAAAGTATTCTTATGGGTTCCCTCACACACTCCCTTGTACACCTAGCCAGAGTTCTGTTCATATTGGGGTTCACCAGTTAGCCCCATATTCTAGCACCATATGCCGGTGACCACCGCATGTTGGGCACCATATATCAACAAAAAACAACTCTTACCAGGGTATGGGCAAGGGGATTTAGATATATTAGTAAAGAATATGAAGAAAAAAAAATAATGAAACAGCAACCATAAAAAGTACAGGGAGAGCATTCCTCTGACTTTTGAAATTGCCCATGCTTAATTATCCACATACTACTACACTGGAAAACAAAAGCAAGAATATAAGGAAAGACTTCTTTAACATGATTCAAAAAACAACTTGAACAGTCAATTGTTTTAATACTTTGAGGCATCAAGTCATTAGCATTATGTTGTTTGGGAACTAAGGCCACTCTAGACCAAGAATTCCAAAGGCAACCACTCTGCAGGTAACATCATATTACCAAAAAAAGGAGGAAAAGTACATGTAGATGTCCTGAATATCTGTCAGGATAAAAACAGGCTCTAATTTTGGGCCTTCACAGGCAGTTGAGAGGGAGCCTTCATGTCTGCTGTGATTTGATATAGAATTACATCACAACAGGGTATGACTAGACAATTAAATTCTCAGCGAGTGAAATGAACAGATATTAATCCAGAGTATGTGTTCTCCAGTTTGTACTGTGACCTGATAATAAATTACATCAAGACAGAGTATGAATAGAAAATTAATAAGTTCTCAGTATGTGAATGCATACTAATCCTGAGTATCTGTTCTCCAGTATATATTCGTTTGTTCTTTTGTAGACTTTTTGACATGTAAAAATTTGACCACAATGAGTACATTCATAGGTTTTCTCACCAATATTCTTTAATATATTTGAAAACTACTGTGACATTAAATTTTCTAACACACTAAATGAATTCATAGAATTTCTCTCCAGCATATGTTCTTTTATACCTTCAAAGACCATTGAGATATGCAAAGAATTTACCACACTGATTACATTCATAAGTTTCTTTAAGGTATGTGTTCCTTGATGCATTTCAAGATAACTGTGACATGCAAAGGCTTTACATTATTGATTACATACGTTTGAAAATAACTACTACATGCAAAGCATTGCCACACTGATTAGTCAGATTTTCTCTCCAGTCTGGGTTCTCATATGTATAAGGAGATGGTTGTGATGTTAAAAGACTTTACAACTCTGAGTACATTCACAGGGTTTCTCTCAAGTATGTCCTCTTTTATCAGAGGATGACCACGCCATTCAAAGGTTTTCCGATCTGATTACATTCATAGGGTTTCTCTCCAGCATGTGTTATTTTATGCCTTTGAAGAACATTGCGATATCCAAAGGCTTTATCACATTGATTACATTTATAGGGTTTCTCTCCAGTATGTATTCTTTTATGCATTACAAGATTAATTTGGCATGTAAAGGATTTACCACATGATTACATTCATAGGGTTTCTCTCCAGTATGTGTTCCTTTATGCTGCTAAAGACCACTGTGATATCCAAAGGCTTTAGGACATTGATTGCATTCATAGGTTTTCTCTTCATTATGCATTTTATGTTTTTGAAGATGAATGTGATGTACAGTGATTACATCCAAAAGGTTTCTCTCTAGTATGTGTTCTTTCATGCCTTTGAAGAGCAATGTAATATGCAAATGCTTTACCACACTGATTGCATTCATAGGGTTTCTCTCCAGTATGTGTTCTTTTATGTATTTGAAGGTGACTGTGACGTGTAAAGGCTTTATCACATTGATTACATTCAAAGGGTTTCTTTCCAGTATGTGTTCTTTTGTGCCTTTTTTAATTAAAAATTTCCGCCTCCTCCCTGCCTACCTTTTCCCTCCCCCTCCACCCAGTCCCCACCCCCCTCCCCTCCTCCTCCTTCTCCAGTCCAAAGAGCAGTCAGTTTTATGCCTTTGAAGAACACTGCGATATTTAAAGGCTTTATCACACTAATTACATTTATATGGTTTCTCTCCAGTATGTGTTCTTTTATGATTGTGAAGATTACTTTGACTTGCAAAGCCTTTACCACACTGATTACATTCATAGGGTTTTTCCCCAGTATGTCTTCGTTCATGTATTTCCAGATGACTGTGACGTGCAAAGGTTTTACCACACTGATTGCATTCAAAGTGTTTCTCACCAGAATGTGTTCTTTTATGCCTTTGAAGATCACTGTGATATGCAAAGGCTTTACCACACTGAGTACATTCATATGGTTTCTCTCCAGTATGTGTTCTTTTATGCCGTTGAAGACGACTGTGATATGCAAAGGCTTTACCACACTGATTACATTCATAGGGTTTCTCTCCAGTATGTATTCTTATATGCCTTTGAAAATCATTGCGATATGCAAAGGCTTTACCACACTGATTGCATTCATAGGGTTTCTCTCCAGTATGTGTTCTTTTATGCAAGTTAAGATAACTGTGATGTGCAAAGGCTTTACCACACTGATTACATGCATAGGGTTTCTCTCCAGTATGTGCTCTTTTATGTCTTTGAAGATAACTATGATATGCAAAGGCTTTACCACAGTGATAACATTTAAAGGGTTTCTCTCCAATATATGTTCTTTTATGATTTTGATGTCTTTTGGGACATGCAATGGGCTTCACATATTGCTTACACTCATATGTTTTCTCACTAGGATTAGTTCTGTTATGCCTTTGAAGATCACTGTCACATGCAATGGCTTTAATACTTTGAAGGTATATGGCAGTTTTCCCTCCAGTTTGACTTCCTTCATGCCTGCAAGGATAATGGCACATTTAAAAGTCTTACTAAATTCAATACACTGTTGAATCTTATTACTATAACAAATAATTTTTTAATTTGTTCCAATTTTTAAAAGGAATTAGATCTTAGGTTTTATCACTGTGTTTATACTCATACTGTATCGATTTACTAAGGATGTTTGGAAACATCGTAGGTACCTTTGATGGTAGGATCCTTTATTACAGGAGTCACATTTACAGAATCATTTTTCTATACAAAAATTTTTACATATTTGAAGAGAATTTGAAAAGCTCAGATCTTTAATATCCTTATAGCATTCATACATTTTCCTATACTGTGAGAGATACTACATTTGCTAAGTGAGCTAGGACAAACAGAAATATTATTTATTTCTAGTACTCATGGGGATTTTCTGCAATGTGCATTTTTTGATGTATTAATATTGAAACAAGAAAACAGATTACTTAAATACTTGAACAAGTATAGTTAACATGGGGACTGCTACATATCTTCTAATTATTCTGATAGAAGTATGTTATGTCTTTCCATATCCCTATGCTCATAAGCCTTGTATCCAGAGTGACATATGATATACCTAGTAAAGGAAAAATAAATAAAAAGACTCCAACTGAATTACCAGAGGTTGACCCTCTGTAATCATAGACTTTTGGTATAGGGATTAAGGTTTGGCCACAACTGCCCTTCCATTCTTGACTCTAATTGCACCCTCACTAAACTTAGTATAATCACATCAAGTGTATGAGACACATAAGCTTCAATATGTACTATTTGCATATTAGAAACTCTTGGAGACATACTTATCACCACTTCATTGTTTATAATTTTTGTAATATGAGTGGTATGAAAAAAATTGACAATTCTATACCATAGTTCTCATAATGCTATAACTCAAATGGTGATAACTGTTAAGACACTGTTTCCACACCTTCTTTCTTAAAAGCATGGTGTTCAAATGCAATTCACACAGCTGACATCGAGGTACATGGTTTTGTGACAATGTAATAATCATTGATGCACATAAAGTGTCATTATTTATTACATTGTTTTTGTTTAAAACTTCCAATACACACTACAATTTCTTCAGAGGAACATTTGTATCAGCTTGCCCATGAAAGTTACCTTTCATATCTTCTAGACCATTGAGAATGATTTTCAATATTACGGTCTTCCCAAGTGTATCCTAAAATATAATATCAGAAAATAAATGTAATATTGAAAATGATGTAAAATTTTAGTTACTCTCTTCCCTGAATATTGGAATCATGCCTGATTTATTCAATCAATGGTTCTCCTTTCTTAATCAAAATTAGATAAGAACATCAATAACCAATGAATTGTTGCTCCCTTATTTTGAAACATAAGAGGAAATTCAGTCTTACCTATAATAGTGAGGTTCCTGTAGGTTTCCAGCATAACATCTTTGTAGAGATTCTTCTGGGAAGGATTCAGCAAAGTCCACTCTTCCCAAGTAAAATCAATTTGCACATCATCATAGGTCACTGCATCCTAAATTTTCCAATATACATGTACAATAGAAAGCATGACAATGACAACATTGTAAATGTATAATTCTTTGACAGTATACTCATATAATTCTGCAGCTGATCCCCAATTATTCCATACCATAGACATTTTATTTTTTTTTATATTTATTTATTATGTATACAATATTCTGTCTGCATGTATGCCTGAAAGCCAGAAGAGGGCACCAGATCTCATTACAGATGGTTGTGAGCCACCATGTGGTTGCTGGGAATTGAACTCAGGACCTTTGGAAGAGCAGGTGATGCTCTTAACCTCTGAGCCATCTCTCCAGCCCACCATAGACATTTTAATTCAGTCACCAAGTAACTTTTGAAGGAAACTAAATAGGATAATGTTCACCTCTATCATTTCTATACCCCTTGAATGGAATATCACCTACAAGAGAAATTTCTATAAACTAACATAGAGACAAGTAAACAGATCAGAAGTACAGAGGACACACAGGAAAAATGGAATGAACAATTAATTACTGAATAAAAAAATGAAGAAAAAGAAAGGTAAAGACTCATGCCTTTAATTCCAGCACTCAGAAGGCAGAGGCCTCTGATTTAAATGTTGTACAGTTTATTAATCATGTCCAGGACAGTAAGAATTAAATATGAAGAACTTATTACCTATGTAAAAACCAGCAAAAAACAAAACATAAAACAAACATATAAAAAATTACAGAAAAATACATAGGTGTTTGGTGAAATTCCTATAAAGCGTTATGCATTAACTCCCGCTCTGTATTCATCTTCCAGAAACCTGAAGTATGCTAACTTAACTGTAACATATAAAAGGCTTAACTGAAGGAACTGTGTATTTAAGTTAAAAAGTTATATATAAATGTTGATACTAAGTAATCAACACAGGGCAGGAAAGAGGGCTCAAAAGGAGAACTCGCTGGCTTGCATGTAGGTGGGTTCAATTGTCTGTACTGAAAAGGGAATTACAACTATATATGAGAACAAGCTCTGGGTTTCTGGGATCATGTTTTGACCTCTGTGAGAACTAGGTACCCACATGGTGTGTGTATATATATATATATATATATATATATATATATATATATATATACAGGAAAATTCTCATATACAATAAAGAAATTTCCATTTTATAATTTTAGCTCCTTTGTCGAAAATAGGTGTTCATAGGTTTGTGTGTTAATATTAGTATTAATCTGACCACACTGAACCTGATAGAAGAGAAAGTGGGAAGTTGACTGCAACACATGGGCACAGGAGACCACTTCCTATTTAGAACCCCAGTAGCACAGACAATAAGAGCAACAATGAATAAATGGGACCTCCTGAAACTGACAAGCTTTTGTAATGCAAAGGACACTGTCATTAAGACAAAAAGGCAACCTACTGATTGGGAAAAGATCTTCACCAACCCTGCATCAGACAAAGGTCTGATCTCCAAAATATATAAAGAACTCAAGAAACTAGACATTAAAACTCTAATTAACCCAATTTAAAGATGGGGTACTAAACTGAACAGAGAATTCTCAACAGAAGAAGTTCAAATGGCCAAAAGACACTTAAGGTCATGCTCAACCTTTTTAGCTATCAGAGAAATGCAAATCAAAACAACTCAGAGATACCATCTTATACTTGTCAGAATAGCTAAAATCAAAAACACCAATGATAGCCTTTGCTGGAGAGGATGTAGAGTAAGGGGAACACTTATCCATTTCTGGTGGGAATGCAAACTTGTGCAACCACTTTGGAAATCAGTGTGGTGGTTCCTCAGAAAACTGGGAGTCAACCTACCTCAGGACCCAGCAATTCCACTCTTGGGAATATACCCAAGAGATGTCCAATCATACTACAAAAGCATTTGTTCAACTATGTTCATAGCAGCACTATTTGTAATAGCCAGAACCTGGAAACAACCTAGGTTAAGGAAAGTGTGGCACATATACACTTTAGAGTTTTACTCAGCAGTAAAAAAACAAAAAACAAAAAACAAAAAAAAAACCAATGATATCTTGAATGTTGCATGCAAATGGATGGAAACGGAAAACACTTTACTGAGATAACCCAGACCCAAAAAGATGAATATGGTATGTACTCACTCATAAGTGGATTCCACCCATAAATAAAGGACATCGAGCCTATAATTTGTGATTCTAGAGAAGCTAAATAAGAAGGTGAACCCAAAGAAAAACATATAGTTCTACTCCTGGATATTGGAAGTAGACAAGATTGCCAGGCAAAAGTTCAGAGCACAGGGGTGGGGGTGCGGTAGGAGTAAAAGAAGATGGGGAGAGAGAAGGGAAAAGGGGGGGATGGGGGAGAGCTTGGGAGAATGGGATGGTTGAGATGGAGGAAGGATGGATATGGGAGCAGGGATGTAGATATCTTAATTAAGGGAGACATTTTAGGCTTGGCAAGAGACTTGACTCTAGAGGGGTTCCCAGGTGTCCAAGGAGATGTCCACAGCTTGTTCCTTGGGCAGCAGAGGAGAGGGCATCTGAACTGGCTTTATCCTATTGCCACACTGATGAATATCTTGTATATCACCACAGAACCTTCATCTGGCGATGCAAGGAGATAGAGACAGAGACCCACATTGGAGCACTGGACTGAGCTCCCAAGGTCCAAATTAGGAGAAGAAGAAGGGAGAACATGAACAAGGAAGTCAGGACCACGAGGGGTGCTCCCACCCACTGAGACAGTTGGGCTGATCTAATGGGAGCTCACCAAGTCCAGATGGACTGGGACTGATGGAGCATGTGATCAAACCAGACTCTCTGAATGTGACTGAGAATGAGGGGTGACTGATAAGCCAAGGACAATGGCACTGGGTTTTGATTCTACTGCATGGACTGGCCTTGTGGGAGCCTAGTCTGTTTGGATGCTCACCTTCCTAGACCTGGATGAAGGGGGCAGGACCTTGGACTTCCCACAGGGCAGCTCACCCAGACTTCTCTTAGGACTGGAGAGGGAGAGGGAGGGAGAGGGGGTAGTGGGAAGGAAATGGGAGGAGGGGAGGAGATGGAAATTTTTAATAAAGAAAAAAGAAAGAATATGTAAAGCTCAATAAAAATTAATAAAAAATATTTTTAAAAAACTTACAAGCAAGAAGATTCAAATGGCAGGCTACTAAACTGCCTTGTCACTGAATAGTTACACTGAAACTTATGTAATACCACTATATTGGTGGTGAAGGCATGACGGCACAAGAAAGAAGCTTACCGGTTAGTATCAAATATAAAACAGTACACCAAGAACAAGAAATAGGTTGAGAGAATAGAGACTCAAATCACATCCCCAATGAGTAATTCCATCCAGAAAGTCTTCTTCTACTAATGATTTCACAAGAAATCAGCAGAAAGTTACCAAGGAATGACACATATTCAAATGCTTCTTCCTATTTGGGGAGGTGTTCATTTTAATCAATTACAATATGACCTAGGTCATTAAAGGCTCATGGTCATTTATGAAGAATATGCTTTAGTCACTTCAATGATCCCCATACTCTGCAAAAGCCCCTAAAATATTTAATTGTCTAAAGTCTTGTGACACTGAAGACAATCTCTTGAGACTGACATCTTGTAAAATCAGAAAATGTGTTACATCTTTGTAACATATGATATCAAATAACATTCACATTCCAAAAGAGGAAAATGGAGACACACCGAGGGAAGATTGGACCAAGGCAAAACTGAAGCACAGCAGCACAAACATCCAATCCTGATGCTCTAGCTCAGATGCATGCAACTTCTGTTTCAAAGGACCGAGATAATCTTATCCCTGTAACTTTTCATACATCACTCTCTTTGATTACCTCCACTCGCTAGAGACAGCTTGCTCTCCATGGAAGATGCCTTATTGTTTAGATATCTCAACATCTTGTGGTCTCAAAATGCAACCCAGGATATGGCAAAATATTATTTTAAGATGTGTTTTATTTTCATAAGTTCTGGAAAATTTCTTTCAATGATGCAAAGATCTGTTGTATTCTTTTATGTTGTATTTTTTAACTCTGTGAAGCTCTGAAGCTTTGCTTGTCTTAAGCACTTGATTTTGCTAACAAAAAGATGAACGGCCTGTAGCTTATTAGAAAAAGATATGAAAGTCTAGAAGGTAGAGAAAATAAAAGTGAGGAGAAATCTGGGAGGAAGAAAGGAGAGAGGAACAAGAAAAAGATAGGACACCAGCGGCCAGCCACCCAGCTACACAACAAGCTAGACAGTAAGAAGTAAAGAAAGGTATATAAAATAGAAAAACATAAAAAAAAATAGAAGCAAAAGATTGATGGAATAATTCATGTTAAGAAAAATGTCTAGAAACAAGCCAAGTTAAGGCCAGAGATTAATAAGTAATAATAAAACTCTGTGATTTATTTGGACGTGGGTGTCAGTGTCCCCAAAGAGCAAATCAACTGCGTACAATTTGGTGCAATGTGGACCTCAAAATTCATGGTAAAAATTTCTGCCTTACAAAAGAAGCCCGTGAGCAGCGGGCACATGAAAATTTTAACCATAAAAAGTCTGCAAGCAGCACAAGAATTAGATTTCCAGAAATATAAAGGCAGAATGTAGTTCCTGAAGCACACTTTCTACATGGCTGCAAGCTTAGTGGTTGGCTTTCATGAACTGAGAAGCAGGAAGAGACTACAGCCAAAGTTACCAGCGGGGCTCAATGCTGCACAGTAGTTTAAAGGCTTATGTTTTCAAAAAGGCAAAATGAGGGGGCTGGAGAAATGGCTCAGAGGTTAAGAGCATTGGCTGCTCTTCCAGAGGTCCTGAGTTCAATTCCCAGCAACCACATGGTGGCTCACAACCATCAGTACTGAGATCTGGTGCCCTCCTCTGGTGTTCGGTCATACATCGAGGCAGAATGTTGTATACATAATAAATAAATAAATCTTTTTAAAAAAGGCAAAATGATATTCAGTTAAACAGGTACAGATTGAATAAAAACCTGTAAAATATTTCCAGTGTATTTTACAATTTGCATAGGCTTTAAAAAGCAAAGACAATAGATACAGACATATATAGAAATAGATTTAAAAAATAGTAACATCTTTAAAAAGATAATAACACTAATAGAAATGTAAAAAGTCATGTAACGATGGGAAATACACAAGGAGTCAAGATCCTGTATTGTATTGTGTTGACTCTGACCTTTTTGATGGCTGATGGGCACCAGATAGCTGGTGGAAGACATGGGATTATAAAAAGCACTGCAAAATTGAACATTGGGTTATCATTTTGTTACTATTGCTTTTATTGAGCTTTACATTTTTCTCCACTCCCCTCCATTCTACTCCTCACTCCTTCTACTCAGATCTTGCCTTTTCCACCATCCAATGTAGATTCATGTATGTCTTTCTTAGGGACTTCTGTTGTCTAGTTTATCTGGGGTTGTAGATTCTAGGCTAGATTTTCTTTGCTTTATGACTAAGAGCCACTTTTGAGTGAGTACATATTATATTTGTCTTTCTTGGTCTGGGTTACCACACTCAATATGTTTTTTCTAGATCCATTCATTTGCCTGCAGATTTCAAGATGCCATTACAATTTACCTTTGTGTAGTACTTCATTGTATAAATCTACCACATTTTCTTTATCTATTCTTCAGTTGAGGGGCATCTAGGTTTGTTGGTGGAAGAATTTAGTTGGTTCCCAGATGCTCAGCACCAAAATAAACACTCAGAAACAATATTATTTGAAATACTGTTTGACCAATATCTTAAGTGTATTTTTAGCTCACTCTTATCTCTTAAATTAACCAATTTTTATTATTTTATATTTTACCATAAGGCTCATGGTCTATCAGCATGCTTTCAGGTGGTGGCTTACATCTTCCTCCTCTGGTGGCTCCATGGTGTCTTTCTGACTCCACTTTCTTCTCACAGCATTTAGTTTAGTTTTCCCTGTCTAGCTCTATTCTGTTAAGCTATTGGCCAAAACAACTTCTTTATTCATTAACCAATAAAAGTAGCACATATACAAAAGCTCTTCCCATACCATAGGTTCTTTTCATGTTCTGGCTATTACAAATAATGCTGCTATGAACAGAGTTGAGCACATGTTCTTGTCATATACTTGAATGTCATTTGGGTATATACTCAACAGCGATATTGCTGGGTCTTGGGGTAAATTGTTTCCTAATTATCTGAGAAACCACCATACTGATTTCCAGAGCAATTGTACAAGTTTACAAGACCACAAATGGAGGAGTGTTGTCCTCATCCCACATGCTTTCCAACATGAGCTTTCATCAGAGTTTTTGTTCTTCACCATTCTGACAGGTGTAAGATTGAATCTCAGAGCTGTTTTGAATTGCATTTTTCTGATAGTTAAGCATGCTGAGCACTTGCTTATGTGTCTCGCAGCCCTTTGAGATTCATCTGCTCAGAGTTTTCTGTTTAGGAGTGTACCCGATTTTTGTTAGATTATTTGGTCTTTTGTTGTCAAGTTATCTTAATTTTAAAATGAGTCAAATCTGTTAAACGGAAATAAAAAATATTTTTGAGAAAAGGTTTTGCCTTTGTTTCCACAGCAGACTAAATTCTGTGGATTTTTTAAGGAATGACATTGATCAGGGTTAATCAGGGAAGACCTCCTGAATATTGACAAGTGATGACTATCAATAAAGATTATAAATGCTCTCCCAACTACTTGGACATTATCTCAAATTTTCTCAGGGAACCCTAAAGATGTCTTCACCCCTATTTAGCAAGAAGTAATCCAGAGAACATGACACCCACATTTCCAACAGATGAAGTATGGTAGGCTTTTGGATATTTGGTAAGCTATAGATACTTGTATTTTGCTAAGTATCTAAGTTATTTTTGTTATAGTGCATAGATATTTTTATTATTATTTAAGGTATGGTATCTATAAAACACATTTAAAAGTATAAGATAAAGTTCTAGTTTTTGAAAGCTATTATTATAAACTATTTAGGATAATCTGGAAACTCAAGATTAGTAGTTAAAAGATGTGGGAAGGTCATTTGTCTATCTGTTGCTTTCATTGGTTAATTAATAAAGAAACTGCTTGGCATGAGAGGTGAGAACACAGGTGAGTAAACAGAACAGAATGCTGGGAAGAAGGGAAGTTAGCCAGATGCCATGCCTCTCTTCTCTGGGCCAGAAGCCATGGCTCCAGCCGCCAGGTCAGACATGCTGAATCTTTCCCGGTAAGCCACCACCTTGTGGTGCTACATACATTAATAGAAATGGGTTAATCAAGATATGAGAGTTAGCCAAGAAGAGGCTAGAACTAACGGGCCAGGCAGTGTTTAAATGAATACAATTTGTGTGTTGTTATTTCGGGTATAAAGCTAGCTGTGCAGGAGCCGAGCAGGACAAAAAGCAGGCCAGCCCACAGTTCCTTATACAGTTAAACACTTATAACAATGAAATATAATGTTAGGAATATTTCCAGAGTCCTACCAAGATATATTTAGATAGACAAAAGGTTTCCAAACACTTAAAAGATGTACAGAATATGTTATTTTCTTGCTTAAAAATGATGGGTATTTAAGAAACTCCACTGGAGTTGCTTTCATTCTGGCAAGCCTAATCACTGGGTGAAAAAAAAAAAAAACCTGCTACTACTTTGGGCTGCTCAACAGTGTTCTGTGCAGATTTTATATGCAGGACCAACAGGAAAGTGATTGCTGAACATTTTGAAAACAAGGCAGAACAATGCTCTGGGATTTCTGCTTCACAGAAGAGACGGTCAGACATTCTGCAGGACTCAGAAGAAAGTAATTGATGAGCTTGGCCACTACAAGGAAAGTCCTTCAAATTCCCCACTTCAGAGAAAAGTCTTCCTGTATTTTGAAAATGGATGGTTTAATGTTAGAAAAGAACTTTGGTTGAATGTTCAGGTAGCTCAGTGTGTCTGTTAGGGAATATTAAGTCCATCTCAGGTCTAGGATGGAGTTAAAGACTAAATAATTAGAGTTTCAGTTTACCATAGTTATGATAGCAAGTAATCTAAGTATCAAACTTTGCAGTCATTAAAATGAGATGGCTCATGGAGTGTTTTTTCTGAAATTGATAAATACAAATGGACTGAACATTGTAAAAGTAATTCTTACTTGGTAACTGCTTTTATTGTACAGTTTTAGTAAGTTAAAGTGAAAATATTTCATTTTGATTTAGACAAAAAGGGAAAAGGTTGTGACATATTATCTTAAGATTTGTTTTATTTGTTTCTGATGTGGAACATATGTTTCAATGATGCAAAGATGTGTTGCATTCCTTTATGTTGTATTTGTTTAACACTGCAAAGCTGTAATACTTTGCCTGTCTAAAATACCCGATTGATCTAATAAAAAACAGAACAGTAAGTAGTTTGGCAGGAAGGATAAAATAATCTAGAAGGCAAAGAAAACAAATGAAAGGAAAAATATGGGAGGACAAAAGGAACAAGGTGAAAAAAAGAATAGGACACCAGGGTATAGCTACCTAACTACACAACAAGGCACAGAGCAAGAAGTAAAGAAAGGTATTCAAAGTAGAGAAAGATAAAGGTCCAAAAACAAAATGTCAATAGGATAATTTAAGAAAAACTGCCTAGAAGCAAGTTACAATAAGAGTAGGAACTTATAAGAAGGAATAAAACTTCTCCTGTGTCATTTATTTGGAAGCTCCATGACATGCTGCCACAAACATAAAGGAAGAGAGAGAAAAAATTACAACAACCAGGCTTCATCCTCACAGTTTCATGGAAGGAACTCCCAGTCTCCTCAATGGGTTTCTGATTATTCCAAACAAAGATGCCTGCAACAATGCTGAACTGTAATTACAGACTAAGAACTCATTACATCAAATTTTTATTCTTTCTTGTTTGCATGACCAATACATGATGGGAGATACTGGAAAGTTCAACATCTATTTTGTTGTTTTGTTTTGATTTTCGAGGCAAGGTTTATTGGTAACTTTGGAGCCTTTCCTGGAAACAAGCTCTTGTAGACCAGGCTGGCCTCAAACTCACAGAAATTCTTAAACTTGACTTTGTAATTGGCGTAAATACTAACACACTTGAATCACAAGTGCAGCAGGTTTGCATGAAGCTGCTTCTTGGGAATAGGAAACACTTTGCTTACCCCTTTCATAAACTGAAGGTTTGGATAGATGGAGTCTTACCTTTAAGGCACCTTGCAAAGTTTCCATTCCATAGCAAGAGTCTTTTCTATAGTGGTGATAAACTCCTTTAAAATAACCACCTGTTTCAGCAATTTATTGTGATATGGAACTATCTTTTCATTTTCATTTATTTTTGTCCTAGTTGTTCCTTTCTTTTTACTGATGACCTGAATGAAGCATCAATAATAGCCATTCAACAGATTCAGTATTCCATTTAACGAATTAACCTATTATTTTTAATTCTGCTGTACTAAATTTCCAGGTCATAGGCAAAATAAGAAAGATTGTGGGCTCAATATATCATGCAAATGATCTCAAGTATAATTTTCTATGATGCCTGTTATAAAAGGAGCGGTGGGCCACTTCCCGCCACCTGGCTTCCGGCCGCCTGGCTAGCTTATATCCCAAAATAACAACAGACAAATTATATTCATCTAAACACTGCCTGGCCCATTATTTCTAGCCTCATATTGGCTAACTCTCGAAATTAATTAACCCATTTCTATTAATGTATATTGTCACTTGTTGCGGGAGGTCCTCCCACTCCTCCAGCCTATCACCGCTGAGGTACCAGCCCACTGGGGCGTGGTTTCTCTCCCTTTAAAAAAGCGGCCACTTCCCTCTTCTCTCTCTCTTCACTTCCTGCTCCGCCTGCGACTAGACTCCTTTCCTGGTTGCGAAGAGGGCTGTTGCCTGGGACAGTGATCTGTAAGTTTTTTCCCCTTTAAATAAATACCACCCTAATAATCATAACCCCGAATTGGTGTGGCATTGTTTGTGACTTACGCCTTCATTTTGGCGCCCAACGTTTGGTTTTAGAACCTCTCCTTTCCCCACTCGCAGCCGCGAGTTCGGCTTGGCGGCCCCAAGTTCGGCTTGGCGGCTGCGGGCTTGGCGGGTGCAAGTTCAGCTTGGCGGGTGCAAGTTCAGCTTGGCGGCCGCAGGCTTGGCGGGCTCTAGTTCGGCTTGGCGGGAGCCCCTCCTTCCTCAGCCGCCAGAGGCCTTGGACTCCCCACATGGATTTAAACTCCACAGGCCCGCGCAGTCTCTGGCCACCTGGTTTGCTCTTTTCTGAGTCATTTTTAAATCTCCCTTGCAAGTACAGCTCTTAAGTGGCACAAACCAGAGCACGTGGTTGCTGAAAGCTGCAACCCCTCAGGGTGACTTGTTCCGTCTCAGGAATTGATTTAATTAGATTTATTTTGTTGAGAAACTTGCATTTTCCAGTTTTTAACATCTACTAAGGCACTGAAACAGGACCATGTTTTCACCGCGACTCTGCAACAGCGCCACCTGCTGGATAATAGGTAATATTGCAGTTTTTGTTTCTAACGCAAATTTTACTGCTTTGTTTTCACTAATACAATGGATTAGTAAATTTATATTTACTAATACAATGAATTACATCATACAAGGTTTATATGATTATGGGGATACCTTAATTTGCTTGTTACTAGCCTTCAGTTTTCTTTTCCATATTCTATCATTAAGGAAGAATATGGCACTACTAAGAACGATTGAATCTTTACATACTAATAATGAACAGAAGAATATGGCACTCCTAAGAATGATAGAATCTTTACGAACTAATAATGAACAACTAATTGACAGGATTAAAATTATTGAAAATCAGAGGTTATCTGAACAAGTGGATACTATGACAGACAAAATTGATTCCATATCCAAGGGTATTAGAAAGTTACCTGAAAGGGTTCAGGC